ATTCTCCGGCTGCAAGTCGAATCTAAATTTTGCAGCCAGAGAAGTCTGTAACTCGAAAAGTCTGTAAGTCGAGCCATCTGTAAGTCGTGGGTCCACTGTACTCCTAAGTACAAATAGTACTTCAGCAGTTGCTTCAATGGGTTCTACTCTGGTTGGGATTAGCAACTGGGTTTACAGCACTGCTTATGGAGTGGAGATTTTGCACATGCTCAAAGGAACTTGGTTTCCCCCCTCCCCCTTTCACTTAGTTTGAACTCGATAATGAAGAGAAATTCCAAAATAAGGTCTTCTTATAAGGAAACTGAAAGGGAAGGCCAGCAGAACCCACTCTCTCCCTCCTCTCGCTCACAAGCAATGTCCACACAAAAGGAAACTGAAAGGGAAGGCCAGCAGAACTCACTCTCTCCCTCGTCTCGCTCACAAGCAATGTCCACACAAAACAAACTAGTCAAACTGAGGACTAGTCACTCATAACAACATGCCAAAACCAAACCAAAAAAAAAAAAAAGAGTGGAGTCATCACGGCGCCTTGGGGACAAACAGATGGCTTGCAGTATAATTTTTGTGCCTCTCATGGAAAGGACTGCAATCTTTTTGTCTAAGAAGCTCTAAGGGTTCTTTTCTATATGCAGGGTTGGGATGAGGGTGAGAGAGAGTTTCCTTTGCCTTTTTTTGTCTCCACCCAAATACAATTCTTCCTTTCTCAGTCCGTAAAGCCACCCAAAAGCCCTGTCTTCCAATCCCAGGCACTATTCAATCAAGAGCAGCTTCTGTTGTTGTTATGTGCTGTCAAGTTGCTTCCAACCTATGACGACCTCGATGGGATCTCTGAGTTATGTAAGATGTTCAAGGAGTGGTTATTGCCCTACATCTCACGGGTTTCCGTGGCTGAGTGGGGAGTTGAACTCATGCCCCTTGGGTCCTAGTCCAACATGCCATCCCCACTGCACGTCAGTGGATCTCAAGTAACTTCTGCATCCCTAACATAAACCAATCTAACAAAGTAACTGTATACAATGACATGCAATAGAGATACATCCTTCTCACCTGTTTGTTTCTTAGCTCCCCTCTGTCATTTATGACTCCATTTCCTCACCTGTGATGTAGTTTGGATTCTAGGCTTCTTGGAGCAAGGAAGTTCTCACATTTTGTAAAACAAAATGCCATATATAACTGCTTTATTTTTAAACTATTCCAACCAGGAGGAACACCGACTTATCAGAAGGAGTGGCTGAAAAAGGACAAGGATCAGCTGAGCCACGTCCTTATACATTAAATTTAAAAGGTGGCTCTTGTGTTTCATCTTTTAAAAAACCCAAAATTTTATCATTATTATTATTTACCCACTGCTTTTAGCTCTAGAAACTCCACAGTTAAGGTTCAAGTCTAAGCATAAACCTCAAAGCGAAAAAGCAACCCCCCCCCAAAAAAAACACCCTAACACACACACACCCTTCCAAAGAACAGGACAATTAAACGCACAGCACCGGAATAAGCCAAGGAAAATAAACTCGCTTCATCAAGTTGCTGAAAAGAACAAACTAGAGGGATTTAGTTTTCTGCTCATAAGAAAAAAGAGGTTCTCGCGGTGCAAAACTTTCAAGCTTCAAAGATCCAAGGAAGGGGGGGAAATACCACGAGTCTAAAATAAAGCAGACCCCCCCCTTCCATGTTCGTCTTTCTTTCTTTCGGTCTGTCTGTCTTTCTTATATGTCCAGCCAAACACGGATGAAAGCCGCCTTCCCTGCTGGTTCAGACGTTGCACCAGCCACACGCGCGCGCGAGCGAGGATGAGGGGCCGGGCGCAAGAACTGCAGACGGGAAGCCGGTGTAGGGGAACCTGTCAGCACGCCGTCCTCAACTCACGGCCCCTTACTCCCGAGGAGGCACTCCTGGAAACAGCCGGCCCGAGGAGAAGCAGCGCCTCTCCAGGGCTTGGAGGAAGGGGGGAGAGAGGAGAAGAAGAAGAAGAGGGGACACGGGGCGTCCCGGGTTCTTCCCCACCTGCCGAAGGGGACGGAGGGGGGGGGCTTACCCCAAATCCGGAGCGTCGTCGATCCCGCCTCGGGACTCCGAGGGAAACAGCAGAGAGAGTAAGAGGGGACGGAGGCGGGGCAGCGGGAGATGCTGAGGCGAGCGCCAGGGCGGGCGGGCGAGGAGGTGGCCGAGGGAGA